TATATGTCTGAATGCCAGACAGATTTTCATTGCATTTCGCTTAATAGAATAAAAACTTTCAACAAACGAGCACATCGTCCAACGGGGTTTTAAGTTGATACTGTGGCCTTATTGATATTTATATTTATCCTCGTTTAAGAATCAAAATACAGATATGTTGTCAACCCTGAGGAGTAAAATTGAATGTCTCGTATCCAATAAAAAGGGTCTCAGGTTCTCTAAACTCACCAATACGAAAAACCGCATTATTAAACTGTTATTTTAAATTAGTACTGAGAGCGTGGCCCTACCCCGGTCGAGCTCACCCATTCGTTCTACAACCATAACATCGCTGCAGCATGGCTCTACTACGTATGTGTACGCATTATGCATACCACACCGCTAAAGATTAAAAACCTCTCATGTGATGATATGGGATGATGGTAACTCTTATGCCACTACTAGTTGGCACCTGCCATTATACGGTATTCTAGTTATTCCTAATTACAACTGTTTAAATGAATCTAAGCTGAAGTGGCAATGGGCCGGCCATATAGCTCGAAGAACCGATAACCGATGGGGAAGAAAGGTTCTCGAGTGGCAGCCTCGTACCGGTAGGCGTAGTGTAGGGCGACCCCCCACTAGATGAAGTGACGACCTGGTAAGACATGCAGGAAGTCGATGGATGCAGGTGGCTCAGGACAATGCTTTGTGGCATTACTTTGGGGAGGCCTATGTTCAGCAGTGGACTTGTGAAGGGCTATAATGATGATGATGATGAAATGAATCTAACAATAATAATAATAATAATAATAATAATAATTTATTCAGATAGAAAGTGATACAGAGTAGGAGTCAAACAATGCATCTTATATACTAAATATGTTCTTAAAAATGAACTTGCTTCCTAAGTAAGGGTAAACCCTGTGTTTTAGGTTAAGCAAAGCTCTTCCCACTTACATAAAACCTTAAATAAGATACACAAAATATAATGAAATAATACAAGTGACACAAAAAGAAAAAAAATAGATCCTTAGAATTTAAAAGACATGCACAGATGAAAAAAAAATTTAGCAGAGAAGTAACGAATTGACATCTATGAACACTTATGCAAGTACTGTTAACAAATTCTCCGTTTCTTCATAAGACTTTAGTTGAAGCCATTTTCTGAGGGCAATATTGCAGTCATGCTTATTCATATAGTATATATGAACAATTTTGTTTACTTTATTATATAAATATGGGCCAAGAAAGCAAAAATATTTTTTTATAAATTTTGTGTTGGGCTTAAAACTGGACTTAATCACAATGTCTTTACGACGTTTACATTTGATTTTGTCAGGGTCATAATTTATACACTGATGCTGTTTTTTTATAACATTTAGAACAAATAGTTGGCGAACAGTTAGTACTTGGCAGTTATTGTAGAGTAATATTGTAGGATATTGAAATGGTTTAAAAGTGGAGACCTTTAAAAGCGCTCTTTGAGCCCTTTCTAAAGAAACCATGTGCGTTTTTAGAGCCCCACCCCAACAAGAAATGCAATAAGTTAACAAAGATTCACACAGAGCAAGATACAGCTGTTTCAAAAGATATGGTTGCACTACATGTCTTAGATTTTTAAAAACATATATAAGTTTGCGGATACGATTTTTTAAATTTTGAATATGGTGTTCAAAAGATAGATTTTTGTCTAGAAGGATACCCAAATACCTGACAATCTCAACTCTTTCCAATAACGGACATCGGCAGGAAGTGAGAGAGCTAGGATTTTTTAAAATACAGCTATGTGCACGTAGAGAGAAATCGTTTCCTGGTTGCGTCACATCACGAATGGAAAAGGTCAGATATTTGGTTTTCTCCGCATTTAAAGTTAATTTATTAGAGCACAACCACCTTTGTACAGTATTAAATGAATTTTGGGCAGCTTCAAAAGTTTTTTTTCCAATCACCCTCTGCAAAAAGTAGCACAGTATCATCTGCATAGCAAATAGACTTTCCAGAGATGAGCTTCATTTGACAGAGATCATTAACATAAATTGTGTATAAGGTGGGCCCCAGTATACTGCCCTGAGGTACACCGTAGGTCACTGGTAAATCTGAACTTCTGTGATTGCTAATTTTAACACTTTGCAATCTATTTTTCATGTAACTCTTAAATAAATTTAACTGCTTTCCGTGTACACCAAGCCTTTTAAGCTTTTCCAGCAAGATAGGCACAGAGACCGTATCAAAAGCTTTCGCTAAATCTAGAAAGATCGCTAAACATCGTCTGCCTTTGTCCAAGTTTTCTGATATAAACTTAATTACGTCATGCATAGCACCATCTGTGTTTTTACCAGATCTAAAGCCATATTGGTTTTTAGCGAGTAGATTGTTCGTCTCTAAATAGTTGATAAGGCGTTTATTTATTATTTTTTCTAATAATTTGGACATAGCCGGGAGTAAAGCTATAGGTCCATAGTTAGTAACTTGATCTCTGTCCCCCCCTTTGTGTATAGGGATTATAATAGATTTTTTAAAAGCTTCGGGAAATACACTATATTCCAAGCACCTATTAAAAATATGCGTTAATATCGGTACCAGTATATTTTTATTATTTTTTAGAAAAACATTTGAAATATTATCCCATCCAGTGGAGCAATTGTTTTTGAGATTCATGATAAGTGATTCAATTTCAGATTCATCAGTATTCAACATAACGAAAGAATTACTAGAAGTCGACATGTCGCTTGAGTCGGTTAAATGATCAGTATCTGCGGTTTTTTCAGCTAAATGTTTTCCAATGTTAACAAAGTAATTATTTACACTATCAACGGCTAAGTCAGCTGTTGCATAAGACTGCAACAGTTCGTCAGCCGCTGATTTAGGTTTATTAGTATAGGTTATATTTTTTAGAACATTCCAGAGCTTCCTTTTGTTATTACCAGCACCTAAAATTAATTCACTTTCATACTTTCTTTTAATATTTTTAAGTAAGTTATTACAAAAACACTTATACCTTTTGTAAGTTATTTGTATGGTGTTGTTGTTTGGGTGTTTTTTGGCTTTCTTAAAAAGGTTATCTCTATTTCTAACACATCGTAGTAAGCCTGATGTCATCCAAGGTTTGATAATCCTAATTCGGTTGGCGTATATACAAATATCAGTGTTTTTGTTATGTAGTTTAGTGATTATCTCAATTAACCGATTTACGGCGACGTCAGGATCATCAATATCATAAATAAAACTGAAATCTGTGTTTATCATATCCTTATTGAGGTTAGAGTGATTTAATTTAGAGTAGCTGTTAGTTTTTGGTTGAGAAGTGGGATCAAAATTAAGACAAAGTAAAACAGAGCTGTGGTCGGTAATATCAGACTGGATGATCAACGTTAGAGCGGGCTTTTTAGTTTTTAATAATACGTGATCGATACAAGTTTTGCTAACAGGTCTAGTAATCAAATAATGTGCTGGCATAAGACCATAAAATGCCGTCAAATTAAGATATTTTTCTGTATGTGTATCCATATTACTCGTTGAGATGTCGAAATTTATGTCTCCCATGATAACGACATTTTTAAACAATACCACCGATTCTAAGACTTGTTCCAAAGAGATGATAAATGAATCTGGGCTATTATTTCTTGAAGGGGAACGATATATGGCAATGATTGCGAGATCTACTCCTTTTTTAATTACTAAACAGCTTGCGCCCGTAAAATAAGGTTCCTCAACCGTGACACCGAGACTATTTCTTACATAAACTGCGACACCATCATTTTGGTTAAAACATTTTTTGTTAGTATATCCAATATAATTGTCTAAAGTAGGGATATTTGGGTTACATAATAGCCAGCATTCGGTAAGTATAATTATGTCGCAAACAATTGTGGTTCTTTCCAAAAGCAAAGCAAAATTATCAAAATTACAACCTATACTTTGTATATTTTGAGTTATAATTTTAAGGTAATTTTCAGTTTGAGGCACATGTGATTGGCAAGAGTCAACGTCTATTGAAACTGCTCTAGATACCTCAATGGAGTCAAGATCACCAAAAACTGCTAATTCGTCGAAAACGCGTAAAAGCAATATAATGAACCGTAATCTTTGTATACCTCTTCGATATTGAGATATAATGTGTGACTACAGAAGTTAGTTAAATATGATAAAAGTGACTCAAGCATTAATAAATAAAGGTCCCTAATTAAATCACAGTTAATCGAAATGGCTTCCTCATTATTACATTCACGTCTTGGTATCAATCTAACACAGCACTCATCGTAATTAAGTAAATTAAGCCCTTGACAGGTATATTCCTTAAATTCCATATGTACAATATAAAAATAACTTTTTAATAAATTTCGTACCTGCACCATTGCAAAATTAATACAATTTTCATACAAGTCCAAAAAAACAATATGGGATGTGTTATCACCCGTATAATATAAGATATAAAATTTTAACAGTTTTTGTAAGAAGCATGCATCATATAGTAGTTTATTATAGTTACTTTGATATTGAGATTTTGAGACTCTGAAGTTCCTTCTCATGGTCCACCCGTACATAAGGTTGTTTCTCGTCCTTACGCAGATAGATAACGCCCCTCGAGGTCCAACAGTACGTGAAATTATATTCCTTGGCAAATTCGCGGGCAACAAAAAATAATTTCTGCGTTTTGTGTGTTAATGCCTCAGAAACATATATTGGCTTACTAGTACCCGGTAAATTTAGGTGACTTGTATTAAGCTTTTCTCCTTTTCCCTTATTACGATTAAATTCTTTTTATAGCATTTAATAGGGCTTCTTTTTTTATGACGCTGTTTAAGTCCAAAATAATAGGACGAGACGTTTCATGTTTGGAGAGTATGCGATAAACATCCCTTATATCTGATTCTTGAAGACTGCAGTTCACTGCCTTCGCCAAGATCTTGACAATATCGCATAAATCAGTTTTGGACTCTGGTCTATTATTCTGCTGATAAATTCTTGGCGTGTTTCGTATTTCTACAGCTGTAGCTCGTGATCTCTTTTCCAAAAGCTCAATTTTGTCCTCCAAAGTCTGAATTGTTTTTTTTGTCGTTTAAACGTTCTTCCTCCATCGTTTTTAATTTTTCTAATAAGTGGTCATACTTTTCATTCATAAAACTCAGACTTTTTTGCATGTCACAGTTTTGATCGGCGATTTGATTTACTGAAACATGCAGTGCTGCAAAGCGCTTTTCAATTTTAGTAGAGAAGGACGAAAATAAATCTTCTATAAAAGATGTAGTGGACTGAGAAAATTCTTGGCTGCCGCCCTCTAAGTCAAATTTACGCTTAACGCGTTTCGTTACAATATCGTCGCACGCTAAATCATTAAGTGACAGAGCCGTACGTGTAAGTTGCGACGGTGAGTCACGAAATTGATCTGTACTATGGGCCGCAACGGCGTCGGATTCGCCGCTTGTCTGACTGAACACCGGGGAATTCATCGTAGCGGTAGCGGGGCCGACGGGGGGCTGCAACGCGGAGCGGGCCCGTTGCGTTGCGGAGGCGGAGGTCTTGGGAGGCGTGCGCCTGAGAGACATTGTTGATTGACGGGTACTAGGCGCGCAGAACTCAGGTAAAGTAGAATGAATCGTGCGTAGCTTCGTAGCAGTACCTAGGAGCCAACTCGTAGCACGCTACGACACTTTTGATGTTTGCTACACAATGTGCGGGACTAGAACAATACGACACAATACTTTCGGACACTTCTCAGATTATGCACTCCTAGTATCGCACCGCGCCCTTAAACCACTTTAAATTTAATTATTTGACTAAATATAATTAAAATAAATCGGATCTTGTGTACACGAGCACTCTGTATGCGGTCCGGAAGGGAAGAGGGATCTAAAAAGTAACTGGCAACGGTCGGTTACTGATTGACCATTATCGCAAATTCTAAGTCTTTATTATAATTTTATTTGAATAAAGTATAAATAAGTCAATAATTAACCCAAACAACTAACCTTTAACATTATTAGCTTAGATCACAACGTTGAGTGACACGAGGTCTCTTTCATTAATTCCTAAACTATCTGTGCTACATAGACGTCAATAAATTTGATAATTCAATATAACTCTTAGATTTACAACTATGTGTACACTGTACTGAAATTAGGTTAGGCCGATATGGTACACACTAGAAGATGACAATTGACACATGTTGTAAGGTGTAAGAATATGCACTACCCCAAATCTTTCCATGCGAGTCGTAAGAGACGAAAAAGGGGAACTAGAACCGGAGATCGGTAGCAGTATTTTGCCGAAAATAAGTTAGAATAATAAAACCTGCAGTTGCAAAGGCGCATACTACTCAAAATCCAATCCTATATATGAAAAAAAAAAGTATTTGCTACTGTATTTGTATATGATAAAAAGTTATTACTGTCCGTTATATTACAGTGATAGATTACAAAATAATTTCAAGAAGTTTAGTATCAATTTTAAGATAAAACTTTATAAAAATATATTTAATATCGTCAGATTCGTTTCGCCGGCAGATGGCTTATCAATTTTCAAAAGATCGGATCGATCTCTTACCCATATCCTTTTTATCTAATAAAGAAAATATACATCGCCTTCGTATCGAAAATTCTATCTGTCTTACATTTTTAACTTTTTCACTTAAACTTAGAAGTGACAAGAAGAACATGACATGTGTATTTTTTAAGTTTTTCTTCCTAAGGAAAACTTACCGGTAAACTACAAAGTATTTTTTTCATCTGCAATATATTATTTTTATATTTTCTTAATTGGATCAAATTACGACGTCAATGTCAATATTTCAGCCACTGATAAAAATTGTTGTAATAAATAAAAGTAAATATAATTCTGATGTACTAATTACTTATAAATTTTATTTTAAATTTTGTGTTATTTTTTTAAAAGTCAACACCTGAGAAATCTGATACTGTATTATTTATTAATACTACTATGGACCGTGTAAAACTGCAACTGCCAACCCGCTCGCCAAGTGTGGAAACAATGGCAAATATCCCCCAACGGCCCTGAGCCACCTGCATCCATCGACTTCCTGCATGTCTTACCAGGTCGTCACTTCATCTAGTGGGGGGTCGCCCTACACTACGCCTACCGGTACGAGGCTGCCACTCGAGAACCTTTCTTCCCCATCGGTTATCGGTTCTTCGAGCTATATGGCCGGCCCATTGCCACTTCAGCTTAGATTCATTTAAACAGTTGTAATTAGGAATAACTAGAATACCGTATAATGGCAGGTGCCAACTAGTAGTGGCATAAGAGTTACCATCATCCCATATCATCACATGAGAGGTTTTTAATCTTTAGCGGTGTGGTATGCATAATGCGTACACATACGTAGTAGAGCCATGCTGCAGCGATGTTATGGTTGTAGAACGAATGGGTGAGCTCGACCGGGGTAGGGCCACGCTCTCAGTACTAATTTAAAATAACAGTTTAATAATGCGGTTTTTCGTATTGGTGAGTTTAGAGAACCTGAGACCCTTTTTATTGGATACGAGACATTCAATTTTACTCCTTAGGGTTGACAACATATCAGTATTTTGATTCTTAAACGAGGATAAATATAAATATCAATGAGGCCACTGTATCAACTTAAAACCCCGTTGGACGATGTGCTCGTTTGTTGTTTTTATTCTATTAAACGAAATGCAATGAAAATCTGCTGGCATTCGACATATAGCGGTATAATCGTCTTGTTTATGCCAGATAATAACATGCTTTTAAATAACAAGTTTTCTCGTAGAACAACATCTTTACTCTTGTCCTTCCTGCGAACTGACAACGTAGTTAGTTAATTAAACAGCCTTTGTAGCTTTTTTCACTATTATAGTATATGTTTAATCAAATAATAACATACAAAATTGTTTTATGTAAAAATTACTTACGATTTTTTTGACCGTGCTTGCTTCCATCCAATATATCTTAAGATAAATGCAATCATCATCACCATCGTGACACATTTATATTAAATAGATTTATGTAAAAATATTTTTATTTTCTTTTAAGGTTGTGTTTAAGTTAGGACCAGTTAAAACTTACTTAGCTTGTGTAAAAATATTTATTTAATGATTTCTTAAATTTACGCGAACACTACACATTGAATAAAACTAAATTTACGGATTTTATCGCGTTTATATTACTACTTTTACTTATTTTTTTTTAATTCCCGACGTTTCGGGTGCTTTACAGCAACCATGGTCACGGGGGGGACTGAGATGTTTGACGTCCCAATGTCATAGTTAGTCCGGCTACCTTCAGTTTTTGAATATTAATTTTTGGTCCAATTTACGCAAAACGAGCTTATAGTATCATGAAGTCTTGCAGTGGTATGCTTAGGTTTGGGTTTAATTTCAGTTAATTATAGGATCCCAAGCAGGTGGCAGCACCCATCCATCTTCTCTATTGAAATTTGGATGTTTTTTAATTTCAATAGCCTCGCGTATCATCCTTGGTAGGAATCGGTGTTCTTTTGCGAGAATTTGTGGTTTATCAAAACGAAGGTAATGGTGGGGACGATCTTGAACATGATCGCAGACTGCAGACTTCCCGGAGCGTCGGTGCTTCACGTCAGCTATATGTTCCTTCTGCTGTTTGAGAGTCATTTTGAACCGTCTCGCACGTAGACTCGACGACTTCCAGTTTCCCGAACAAACAGGTTTCCAAAAAGACATTAGCGCCATAGACCACACATATACCTTTTGGAAACATTTACAGAAAACCGAAGAGTACAATCTGTCACTTTATCTTGCGTATGTGAACTATGAGAAAGCTTTGTATTCCGTCAAAATTTGGGCAGTGCTGCAGTTCGTTCAGCGGAGCTGAGGTGACTGTCGGTATATCAAAGTGCTCAAGTGTTATGATTTGTTATATTACGCGAAGATAAATTTACTTGTGCACGACAAATTGCACTCTGCAAGCGGTCACCACGATATTGATATTGTTATGTGGCTCAACAGCCACAGGGTGCTATAACTGGTCAAGCAGCGGGGGCACACGTGAATGACTTGTCGGTCTGCCGGCGGCGTGCTTCCCCTTTCACTTTTGGCCAGCGCGCCTATCTTTGGACAAACAAAATGACGCTACTATGTCTAGCCTCCTATTGGGCAGGCAGGAAGGGGTCAAAAGTGAGAGGGAAGGATATGGCCAGCTAAAAAGTTTTTATCTAATGTTCGTTTCGGCGCGACCAGTAACTCCTAGGAAGTCTTTTTGGCTTTAAGTTATCCAAGTTCCAGTCACTGCAAAGAATAATTATTTTTAGATTTCATACTAGACTTAATAGTCTTGCTAGTTACTGATTTAGCTTTTCAAGAAATATTTGTGGATTGCCATATGGAGTTCTATATAAAGAAATGATCATAATCTTATTAACTTAACACTATAACATTAAAAATTAAATTTACATGTCAAATCATTAATATTAATCACGTTTTTTTATTTAAAATTAATACTTATCATTATACATACCTTGTTTAGTATCCCGTGAATATGATGCAACTAGATTATAACCAGGTATTTTCTAAAAAAAATCATTACCTTTTTTAATGAAAGTTCAGTCAAACAAACAAGATATTTGTTTGGATTTTTTGTGACAACTCTCGTATTACAAAAGTTGGTTCTTCAGATTTAATTTTAGCACCGGCAATGTTCTGGTGAAATATTCTAAAATTGTATTCAGATTTAGGTACGAAAACATTTATTTGCTTGTTAGGGCAACATTTTGTCAATTTGTCTATTTAAACACGGTATTGATATTTTCAAATAATAAGGTATTGTTCTTGTGAGTTTCGGTATATACCATTTGCGTTTTGTTCAAAGGGGCAGTAGTAGAGTTCACTTCCTGGCAATTATCACCTGAATGTACATCTTTACAAGACTGAAAGTAGAAAGGAATTGTGCCCTCCCTTGGAATAGTTTTTCGTTCTGTTTAAGACTTTTTCATTAATAATAACATATTTTAACAACATGAAAAAATATGTTTATAATAGTATGACTCAATCTTAAAATTATTTTTTACATAAATCTAATAAGTAATATTTATTGGTACGGATAGTCAAATTTTGTATTACACGTACAATGTTTAAAATTTTATTTAACTTACTCTCATTTAAATATCTCTGTAAAACATTAAATACTAATATATTAGTTTGTTAAAAGGATTTCAGTATTTTCATTACTTATTTCTATTATGATTTTGTTAGGGTTAGTATGTTTTTCTCCTGTACGTAAACTTAGATATTTATTTTCTCTAAAGCGATTGTCTAGTACTTTTCACTGGTATTATAAGTTAAAATAGTGTACTCTTTAATAATTAATAGTATAAAACAAAGTTGCAGGTACATTCAGCAATTATAGGTACTTTAAGATCGATAGATAAGAGAAATTCTTTTAGTTGTTCCAAAAAAATATACAGCCGGTCTGTATACAAATGTTTTACGAATAGCTTCTATATTATACATTTATTGATTGATTACATGATTAAAGCTAAGATGAATAAGGGATAATATGTCCATTTATAATATTCCTTATACATGCTATACCTATA